GTAACGGACTCGTCTGAATCTCCTACCATACATGACGTCCCTCCCCACTGACTGCCCAGTCAGACTGAGCGTGAACGTCTGGTGGGGGGGTCAGTGGAGAGTAATGCGCAGTCTGACGGCGCCGTCAGTTGAGTAACGTCCAGTGACTGACGTCACGTCCTCACTGGCTGACGTCACGTCCTCACTGGCTGACGTCACCCATCGACGTCACGTCAGCTCGAGCCGTTGCGATGCTGCTGATGACCAGTGTTATCTAAATAATCACCGCCGTAATTTAATTACGGCCAAGCGCGTCGCCAATTTTCTGACCATGGTATTTGGGGAACGCCTCCAAGCCAAACACCCGAACAACGCCGGCAGTCCCGACGGACGGGCCAGCGATGAGTGGCGGGCAGCGGCTGAGCGGCAGACAGGGGCTGAGCGGCGGGTCGGGGCTAGGAGGCGGACCGGAGTTGAGCGGCGGGCAGGGGTTGAGCGGCAGACGGGGGCTGAGCGGCGGGTCGGGGCTAGGAGGCGGACCGGAGTTGAGCGGCGGGCAGGGGCTGAGCGGCGGGCCGGCGCTGAGCCCGGGTAGAGCGTCTCGACCAGCTCAGCCGTCTTCCGCGTCGGCGACAGCGCCGTCGCGCAAACACCGGCGACCGAAGGCGAACGGCACAAACACGGTCCAGCCCCGGCCGCAGGTGGGCGCCGGCGCCCGTCCGCGGGCTGGGGCCGGGGGAGGGGGGAGGGAGCGGTCTGGTCCGGTCGGCGGGGGCGGCGCCATCTCGCGACACGGCCCAGCGAGCGACGCTATCGCGCGCCCGATCGGCCGCGTCGCAGGGTATGCTGGACGTAAACAGGTTTGTCGTGTATTTTTGCGGCCGGCCGGCCAGTTTCCAGCAGGCAGCCTCACGTGAGGTGACAAAACTGGAGCCTGTCCGGCCGGCTGGCGGGCTCGCTGACAGCGCAGCATGTCGGCGCCGCTGCCGGCCGACATGTTGCGATGACGGTCGGGATAGCTGCGGAGGCGGCTGTCCGCGCAGCCGTCAACGTGGCTGCTAACGGACTATCGGGTTGAATGTCGGGGTGACCGTAGGAGTGGCTACAGTAGCGAATGCCGGAGTGACTGTCGGAGTGAATGACGGGCGGATGTCGGGGTTAGTGCTTCAGTGGCTCTAGGCGACCTGTCCAAACGACTGTCGGAGCGAGCGATTGTCTAACGGGCCTGCGTCGGGGCCAGCGCCGCTGCCGGGCTGCCTAACGCTGTCGGGGCCGCTGTCGGGCGGGCCGCCGCGCCGCTCTGGCCACGCTCTCTCCGCCGGGCCGGCGCCCCCGGCGACATGGCTCTGATTGTCGATCGGCGCGGCCGCCGCCCGGCCGGTGATAAAGTGTCCGACGCGAGGACACCGCGGCGCCCGGCCGCTTTGAAGTCGTCCCGGATCTGCGCCGCGCGCTGCAGGGACGCCGCGAGCCGCCGCTTTGTAAGCGCCGCGGCCGCCGCCGAAACATAATACGGCGCCGCGGCGATCGGCGCCGCCGCCTCCAAACATGACGCGACGCTGCGTCTCCACGAAAGCCTGCAGGGCAGAACAGGGCAGGGCAGGGCAGGGCAGAGCAGGGCACGATAGGGCGGAACGGGACAGAGCGTGGGAGGATCGGGTGCGGCGGGACGGAACAGGGCGGAGGTCACAGAACAGGACAGAATATGGTGTGGCAAGACAAGGGAGAAAAGCGTAGGGTGAGGTATAACAAGGGAAGTGAGGGCACAAGAGATGCAGCCGCAGTGCGGGCTACATCAGCACAAGTGCGGCGACGCCGTACAGCAGGACGGGGAGCAGCGAGGGACGATGAGGCAAGGCTGCAGCGGCAGCCGATGTCGGACGCGAGCGGTTGCCGGGGCCGTCCCAGACGACGGCTTGCCTTGCCAGAAGCTAGTGCCGTGACGTCAGAAACCGGAGATCAGACGTTAGCATCTGCGGCCGAGAATAAGAACGTCCGAGGCTCTTACTGGGACGTCAAGGGCTTACATCCCGAAATTGGGAGTCGTGGACACGACATGCAGAGCTCGAAGAAGACAATCAAGGTTTAGTCAACAACAACGTCGGAGCGAATGTCGAGCGAGAGAGGAAGCGGTCATGTGTACTAGCCAGGGGTGTCGGGATTCGAGACGCTGCAAAGTTCGGAAGTCGCAACTCCGCGTGCGAAGGGACTCGGGAGCAGGATCTGAGGTCGGAGCTGGTGCCGCGAGACTACAACAGCGCGGCCCGGGTATCCGAATGGTCCAGAGGTGGAGGCTCGCCGTCCAGGGACTGCACCGGACCACACCGAACCGGACCGGAGCGGCTGGGCTGGTAGGCCCGCCCGCCGGCCGCGCCAGCGCCGGACACCGACTGCCCTGTTTATTTAATGTCGTCGAGCTGTCGGCCTCACCTGGGCAAACGTTCATCGGTTAAATAAACAGACGGGCGCGCGCCAAATCTCCACCAATCAGCAGCCGATGGCCGGCCCAATAAACACGCGCCAAGCGGAGGTATTTTCGCGGGTGGCGTCCGACCGAGACGGCTGGTCGCGGCGGCCCGCCGCGCCGCGAGCTCCCAGCACCCCGGCCCCGTCCAGATGGCGTGCGACGCCCGGCGAAGTCGACCGGGCGGACGGGCCGGTGCCAGCGCTCGCAGCGGCTTCAGCACGTGAAATCCAGAGCCGCATAACGGTGGGTTTACATGAGAGCACAAACATAGTCGAACACCATCAGAGCAAAGGAATTCAAAGTCTCGTGGAATACTCGGTTTGCTTCCGGGTCGATGATCCCCTTTTAGATTGTACATATGAGATTGAACTGGATTGTATTCGAAGCTCTTCGTATTAAGACAGGATTCTAACCCTAATCCAATGAGCGTTAATTACTATATCCGGGGCGTTTCACAGCGCTGCACAGCAATCACCGTCTCTTGATCGACGGGCTGTGGTCTCGGTGCAGGGCTCAGACACCCGCAGACTAATTTTCCTAATTGCCTGCAGATATGGTGGCTATGAGAAAAGCAGATGCGAGCGTGCAGACATCCAAAGCATTGCGGGCGGGATAGCTGTCGACCATAAACACGTTGCGATACATAGCCATGCAAGTGGCCAAATATGGCAAATGCCGTTGACCACCGAACTGCTCCTGACTTCCATACACTGCCCTGTCCACACTGACAACCGGTGTTCTCGTACATCACAAGGCTGTGTTCTCACATATGCGTCATGCATATCTATACACATTGGGCACATGTGGACATCTGTGCACACAAACACCGGCAGCGGGGCAGCCATTTCGACGCCTTTTCCCTCCCCCTCGTGTGCGGCGCATGCGGGTCGGCGGCGGCGTCGACGCGCCGCGGTCGCGGTGCACGGGGGCGCACACCGGGCGCACGGGCCCAGGCAGCGACATCTCGGATTTGTTTCAGAAAGGATTTAGTGTATCGTTAACGGCGCGCTATCTTGGCCCGTAAATCTGGCCCGCTTTACGGGCCGTCCGCCGCTGCGTCGTCTGACGTCTTTATGGACCGTGCCCATTCCTAAACTGACCCGATCCGGTGAGCCATGGACCCTCTCGGCAACCTTATCCGGCCGGGTGCGCTGCCGCATCGCCGCGACGCGGAAAAGGTTTCACCACCGCGGCGCCGGAGCGTAGAGGAGGCCACACGCAACACTGCCACATCGCCGGGACACAGCAGTCCCACCGACGCCGCCGCCGGGGCGCAGACGTCCCACTGAGAGGAGACTGACACCGCCGACGGAGGAGGACGCCGCCGCCGGGGTGCAGACGTCCCACTGAGAGGAGACTGACACCGCCGACGGAGGAGGACGCCGCCGCCGGGGTGCAGACGTCCAGCTGAGAGGAGACTGACACCGCCGACGGAGGAGGACGCCGCCGCCGGGGTGCAGACGTCCCACTGAGAGGAGACTGACACCGCCGACGGAGGAGGACGCCGCCGCCGGGGCGCAGACGTCCAGCTGAGAGGAGACTGACACCGCCGACGGAGGAGGACGCCGCCGCCGGGGTGCAGACGTCCAGCTGAGAGGAGACTGACTCCGCTGACGGAGGAGGACGCCGTCGCGCTTCAGTCTTGTTTATGGACATCGCTGCTCGCAGCTCGGACTCAAGGACCAGGCGGCGTGCTGTGAGCAGCAGCGCGCCCGCTACCAGCCATTACGGTCCTCGATTGAATCAAGATATTCCCGTGCATAGAGCAACCTGATAGCGTCCATTTATCTCGGGCGAATAAATAAGAATGGCATTAACAGGAAGGAATGAAATGTCAAGGCTTTCCGCTGAGCGAGCTGGTCTTGAGAATCAAGGCTCGTGCATAAACTTGTCCAAACGAACGGGATCTGCGGAGGACGTGTCGGCTCTTAAAGGCCTGAGGAGTGACAGGACCCTTCGGTGACTAATCACAATAATCGCGAGGAGTTCCGCATTCGCCCGCGATCGTCATGAGTTCTCTCGGCAGTGGCTGTTACAGGTCGGCCGGTAAGGTGCCAGGTTGGCATGTCGCTGACTAACGCAGACATCGCCCAGGCGCATTCTTCGTCGGAAGTCAGACGCCCCCGCGCCGGGGTGATCTGGACGATCTCCGCACACATTTTGCATAAATCGTATCGGGAACACACGTGATTCGGAGAACGCGGCATTGGCGTGGCAGCACGTGACGAAACCACATCAGAATGCACAAGGGTGCACAGCGGCGATTGGACGGCGCGCACACGGGGTAGGGGCGGCACGGTACGCGGTCACAGTTCGCTTGCCCCCAGTCCTAATCCCAAGTGAGCTCGTCAAGCCGGCCCGACCATTAAATCCCGATAGGGTCCCCTTCTCCTCATCGACCATTCTGGGTCGTGACTCGAATTGTGATCAGGTCAGATCCGCACAGTGTGTCGGAAAGCTGCCACTGCACTCGCCGTAGGCGCCGAGTCCGGCAGCACGGCACACCTGGCGGACAGCGCCGCCGCACAGGCGTCATCGTCTCCCCCCGGCTCACCGGTCAGCTCGTCGGCGTCGACGGCCTGCAGCACTAGGATGGCGGCCGTCTTCAGCGCCGGCAGGCCCCAGGCGACCAGGTGGAAGTAGGTGCTCTTCTGCTGAATGCGCTCGTGCGACCACTTGAGCCCGGCCGCCAGGAACCAGGTCACGGTCAGCATCACCCACCTGCGGAGGACGGGGCGGGTAGTGAGCGGAGCGATGCCAAGATCGCGGCCGGACACGGGAGGTGCCACCGAGCGCGGGGAGAGCGCGGCAGGGCGCGGGGGTGTCACCGGGCGCGGGGAGAGCGCGGCATGGCGCGGGGGGTGTCACCGGGCGCGGGGAGAGCGCGGCAGGGCGCGGGGGTGTCACCGGGCGCGGGGAGAGCGCGGCACGGTGCGGGGGGTGTCACCGGGCGCGGGGAGAGCGCGGCAGGGCGTAGCGGGTGCCACCAGGCGCGGGGAGAGCGCGGCAGGGCGCGGGAGGTGTCACCGGATGCGGGGAGAAGGCGCCGAGAGCGCGGTCGGACGCGGGAGGTGTCACCATGCGCGGGGAGAAGGCGCGCCCATGTGAGCGGCTCTTCGTCTGGACAGCGTCAACAGGCCCGTGCAGTGGCACTCCCGTTGTTTCCAATGTCCATCCGCGGTCAGCGGTTGGTCGTGTGGCGCCGCGCTCCACTGCCACCTGGAAGCGGGGTAACGGCACCACACGGCGCTCCCCGTCGTCCCCATGCTTTCTCAGCACCCCAGCTGTGGCAGCTGAGCCAGAGGGGACCAGAACATTTATCACATGGTGGCTGAGAAGAGCCTCCCGCCGCTGCCAGGATACCCGATCCTCAACAAGAAAACGCTTTTCAGCCAGATGGAGCAAAAACTTAGTTCATGGCTTGTCGTTCACGGTCAAGCTGCAGAAATCTCCTCAGTCAGAGAGAAAAAAAAAATACTACCAGCTTTTATATTTAGCAGGTGTTGTCCGGTTTCGATCCAATAAAGAGTACTATATCATTCATTCACGCCAATGTTTTCAATGGTCATGAATGGTGCAGCATTGGTGAAATAAAGTCCGTAAGACTATTCCCGCGAACATTGTCCGCTCCTTTTTATCTAACTTACCTCAATTTGCGCGGTGTAACACGAGCTTTGCAAATTAGTGTTGTGTTCATCCATTACCGAGCAGCCAGAACGTACCATACCCGAACAGCACCATCGCCGCTGACTGGACCTGATGTCAATCAGGCGACAGTGCCGCCGGACTCTGCGGCCCTTCTGCCAGCACAGGCCAGTAGCCGGTCCCTGCCAGACCCAGTGGCTCGATCTCGCAGATCACACAGCCCATTCGAACCAATCTTGCGCAGGTTGTTATGGGCGCAAGCGATCAGGCTTCGCGTGCTTCCCGAATCCCCTTTTCGACATACTATTGTGACCAGCAAGCGCAGAGCTCATTTCTCTCCTGTTCCCTGACAGCCATCAGGCGGCCATCTGTCTGTGCTGTGCCGCCCAGCCTGTTCTGCATCCGCCCCTCACCCGCCGGTGACCTAGCCCGTCCGTCGGAGGCGCTGCGGTCAGCCTCGTCGCCACCGGGCCGCACGCCGGCCGCCCGCCTGATTGATGATGATTGATTTCGTCCCGAGCCGCGGCCGGTGCGGCGGCCTGGCGCGCCGCTCCGCTGCAGACTGCACGCCCCAGCCCAGCCCGGCCCGGCCCGTCCCCCAGCCGCCGGAACCGGCTGCCGTATCCCGGCTGATGTGCCCCGGCTAGTGTATCCCGGCCGCTGTATCCTGAATCCCTGGCTGCTGGATCCCGGCTGAGGTGTTCCGGCTAATGCATCCCGTCTGCGGTATCGCGACTGGTATTTCCGGCTGCTGTGTTCTGACTGCAGTATTCCGGCTAGTATTTCCGACTGCTGTGTTCTGGCTGCTGTATCCCGGCTGGTATTTCCGACTGCTGTGTTCTGGCTGCTATATCCCGGCTAGCGTTTCCAGCTGCTGTATCCCGGTTGGTGTCACCGGCTGCTCTGTCCCGGGTGATGTACCCCGACTGGTGCTTCCGGCCCAGCCGGTAAGGACGGACCCTTCGCCTCGGCTCGGCCGCGGCTGACGCTTGGGTACTGCATGAGAGTGTACGAGCGAACAGCAGCCGCATGTGCTAAGACATGGTGTACATATATCAAGTGTTTGCATGCGTGCTGGGTTTGTCCCTTTGTTCATGCCTTTGTCTTCGCGCGGCGCGTTTGACGAGTTGGGGTCCAGCAAAGGCCCAAAATCCTCGCAAAAAGCTGAAATGTAGTAAAAAGAAACCTGTGATCCCTTGGCCTTGCTGATAGTAGCAAACGCTTCTCCTACAATCTACCGTACAGAAGAAAACGATACAATGAGCACCCGTGTGGCAGGTTCCATACATATGCGGGGAAGCATATTAATCTCTCTCTGGTGAAGCCTCATGACTTTGTTTTTATCAACGGAGCCTCTCTCCCTTTCTCATTGTTTTAAGCCCCTCTGTCGCTCCGCGCTGTTGATAGACATATTACCTGCTGCTATCAAAGCACCGCAAAAAAATGCGCTACGCCTTTCATGACCGTTCCCGTTTGCAAGCGCCCGTCCACCCTCACCGTCAGTCCCGACCTGGCTGACCCGCCAGCCCTGCCTCTCACACAGGCACCATGGGACGGCCCGCAGTGGCGCCCCGGGCGCCAATGTCCCCCCCCTCTTCCTGGCCCTGGTATGCGGCCGAGCTGTGTGTACGCGCCAGGTACACAGAGCCACGTACCTGTCCGGCCCCCCGCCGCCACGGCATAAACGGCGCGGCAAAAACGCCGCGCCGCAAAACACCGAACCGCCTACAGAGGCGCCGCCGTCATCCCGGGCCCGTTAAAATAGCCCGTCCCGGCCGCGTCGGCAGCGACGAGCCATGGGCTACCTGCGACACCCGGTCCTAGAGCCGCCGCGGACCGCCCCCGCATCCATCCGGGTGGGGCGTGGCTTTGGTCGGCTGCACGTGGGAGCGTGTCCCGGACCGGCCTTGTCTGTTGATCTGGAGCTGCGGCGTTGTCAAACAGGGCGGCCAGGCTGCGGCTCTCTCGAGACGTCAGTCGGGCGGGGCTTACGCCTTGTCTCCGGTAATCTGAGCCGGTCCGGAGGCAGCACACCCATCCGCTGGAGCCGGGGGTGTCACCTGCGCCCACACCCAACCGGCGCGCCTCCCTATACGGCCACATCTAAATCAAACAGCATTGTGTCCATGCTGATTGGCGGGGCGTACTCTGTGTGAGCGTCTGCAGGGCGAGCTGTGAGCGTGCAGTGAGAACCGCGCATGACTGCCTAACTCACCACCCACACAGACAACATAGACCCCATTACCAGGCGGCTACCACGCCCGCGGCCTCCAGCTGCCTGAGCGCTGGCAGCTGTCGGCCTGGCGGCCACGCGGCCCGTCCCGGCGGCAGCTCCTCAGTAGCCGCGCGACCTCTGGCGACCTGCGGAGCGGCCATCACGTGACGGCCGGCGGCGGCGGGCTGCGCGGCGGGGCGCTCGTCCGACCGATGGCGTCCCAGCGGGACTCGGCTGACGGACGGCCGGCCGCCGGCGCCGCCGCCCCCCGCCGAGCGCCCGGGGCGCGGCGGCCGCCGCCGCCGCCACACCGAAATTGAATTCGGACCGCGCCCGGCCGGCGGTCGCCCGGGGAGGGAGAGGAGGTACAGGAAGGGAGAGGATGCCCAGGGAGGAAGAGGAGGCTCGGGGAGGAAGAAAGGTCCCAGGGAGTGAGAGGCGGCTCGGGAAGGGGGAGACTCAGGGGAAAGAAAGGGCCGCGGAAGGGGTGGCGGGCGGGGAGGCCCGGGAAAAATACCTTGTTAACATGGGCAGCTGTGATTCGAATGGAGCCGGGACCTGTCCTTGATCCGAACTATCGGGCCCATGTATACACTCACGCGACGTTCCGTTGATTCGAATCATGCGCCGGCGGAAATATCTTCCCGTGAGAGGATCATCCGTTCAGGAAGGGATTTCGTTCGAATTATCGATGATGAAGGCTGCTAAAAGCATATTTGCTGTGCATGACAAAAAGAAAGAAAGAAGAAAACTGCCTGGCGCATGCAGTTCTGTTCAAGGCTATTTCAGGTCTGGTGTTTCCGCTTTTCCACGGGTTTTTAGCTACTGCTCAAGACGATCCGAGTCCAGGATGGAAAAGAAAAAAGGGAAAGAAGGTGAAGTTGACACCATGCTATTTCAGGCACTCTTATTATTGAGGGCAAACAGCACAGAAATGCTCAGATAATCTACGCTTGTTACGCGTTAATCTATGCAGACAGCAGGCGTCAGCAGTGTTTGGTGTCGCCTTTCCGTCTCGAGGTTAGATTGATTTACATCTGGGACAGGCTCCATGCTTCCAAAAACCATATGCAGCTCGTGTGGTCATTTTATATGGCCTTGACTCGTTCTCACTTTAATTTTTGAATTGCTCTTGAAATTCTTGCCGAGAATACCACTAGTTTCTTTCATTAAGTGAATACCCAAAGGCTCCAGGATTGTTTTTGCAGATGTCCTTCCAATGACTTGAACGTCTGGTTGAAAACCTATTGGCTGGAGGGATGTGCTAAATATTGGTGACTGGCTCCTCAAGGGAATATAAAGTTACATCACACTGGTAGCCCAACTGGCAGGGAAGCAGGGGCTGAAATATTTGCTTTTGATGCAATTAGGTTATTGGTTGCTTGTAAATTTAATGTATGTGAGATAGGTAACTCAGTAATTCCTGCATGATATGAAGGATCAACAAATATAGACTATAGATCATTGCACATTATGGATCATTACAGTCAGCTCAGAAGGTGAACTTTTCTTGATGATAGGACCAAAATTGCCCAATGATGGTTTCAAAACATCAAGAAAGCAAATATGTACACTGGATGAAAAAGCTGTCATCAGTACTCTGCTAAATCTAGGTTTGTGTATATAATGTGGAAGAAAACATTGTATGAATTAAGTAACACCTAACACAAAGGCAACTGCTGCATGGAGGACATGACTGTGGTGCATATCATTACCTGTTTTTGTTCTGGTGAGGAGATATGCTACCTTGGTGTTTCTTTGTGATGGGTGTCTTTGCAAGCCATGAGGTAGGTAATTCAACTGTCATTATAATGAATAATTTGTTGTGAATTTTGAGCCAAGATTGCTTTTGTCATGACAC